AGCGCATAGTGATCTACCTAATTTGAAAGCAGTAAACTTGCAGTTTCTCCCGCCAAACACAACAGCAAAGTTGCAGCCGATGGACCAGGGTATCATAAAGTGCTTCAAACAGTCTTATTGTAAATGGCTTGTCAGAAAAATTATCTTAAATATTGTAAGCATTTAGAAGATTTGTTATTAATAAGCATTAATTAAATAATCCGACAATATTTTGAAAGTCCAAAACCGAAACTAAGGGTAAGTCGAACTTCCGATATGTCGAAGTTTTTCGTCAGTCCTATCAGATTCGAGTTATCGCGAATTCACTGTATATATATTTGTTTTATTTTGCAGTTGCTTACATTGTTTTTAAAAAAGAAATGGTCTTAATTACCAAGTCTAATTAAACTTATGTCTGTATATTTTTCATTATTAAGTATTTATTATATTAATATATATTTGAATATTAAAAGCAATGCTGTCAATGTTTTTCATAAAAAAAATCACCTAATAATGTTACTTTCTTCCCCCATTAGTTTTATAATGTTCAACCAGTATCGCATACCTAGAGAGTGCCTTCTTAATAAAAATGGTGATGTGGATCCTGATGGGAAATATATTTCTACTAAAGTAAATATACTTTCCTTATTGTTATTTAAGTATGTTATTTGATTGTAATTAACTTCATTATAAAAATTTATATTGACAGTTAACAATTTTTTTAAAGTTTAATTTTAGAAGTTGGTATGCTGTTAAGATTATATTTTTAATAGAGTTTGATTTAAATTACCTTTTATAAAGCATTTTGATATTTAAAAATTTGTACTTTAAATCAGTCCTAACAAATCCTTGGAAGTGTTTTGATTTGCCATACAAACTTCATTCACTTTTGTTACTTATGTTGTGCACAAAATTACCCAGATTTTTAAATTATAAAATTGCATTTTTTGTTATACTTTACACTCTGTAGAATAATGTCTGAAAAAAAATTTTTTTTGAAGTGTACCGAGCTAAATTATTACAGTTTAGAGACAATTTTATGAAGTATGTAATCAGTGCCTTGATTGAAATATTAAAATTATTATTTTTTGATAATGTGATTTCGATGCTAGCTTACAACATTTTAATCTTGTTTTCTTCATAGTTGAGAATCGTTTTTAATGATTTTCTTAAAGTAGTTTATTGGATTATTGTGTTTGATCAAATAAACAAAAAATGATACAACTTTACTTATTTCTTGTTTCCTTATAATTTTTTGTTAAATATCGAATATTTCTAAAAGCGCCAATAAGCCTCTTTTGAAAACATTATCTATTTTATTGGAAAGGAGAGAAAAAATATGTAACCTTATGTCTATTAACCTTTACTAAGGAATAACCGCTAATTTTTTCTAAGGAAACTTATTTTTCTAAAGGAATTTATGAATCACATAATTAAAAACTAAATTTAATGTAAAAAAATGAATTATGTAAAACTAAGCACACATATTGTCAATAAGTCAGATATCTGATTGTATGCTCGAAAGCAATGTTTCCAGCCACCGGATCGCAAGCCAGTACTGGGCCTTGAATCCAGTTGTATTGTGCTGCTCAAGGAACATTAGAAGATTATTATAATTTTATTTACTCTATTGTATTTTTCTCTGGTTTATACAACTTTCCATGGATGAGAGGTTAACGGGTAGCTGAGTGAAGGCATATTTAAATGTAATTAAAGTTATTAAATCAAATCAATCTAAATGTCCCTCCACCCCCTCCTCAGTGAAAGGCTTTAAAATTATTAACCCTTGACCAGTCCTCAACAATAAAAAGGTTGGAGAGCACTGCTATAGACTAGTGGTCTTTAAACACTGGGCTGTGGACTGGTACTAGCCTGTAGATCGAATGGTACAGGGCCACCCAAGGAATATAAAATTCTTTCCATTTTATTTACTATGGTGTATTTTTCTCAGGGTTTGTGTGACTTTCCTAGGGTGAAAAGTTGACCCTGAAAAAAATTATGATCTTGGTAGAGATATAAATTTTGGAAATATTCAATCAAATATTCTTGGGTAATTCATACATGTTTACCTTGAGTTATTTTAACTTATGCATCCTACATAAAACATTAGTTGTAAAACATAAGATTTTTACAACTAGTTAAAAGATAAAACATTAGTTTCATGTCTAATATCCCCCATCCCCTACTTATTTATAAGTAACAATATTTCATTTGTGAACAGAATTCTTAGGAAAGTCCTAAATTCTGTTGAACGGGGGTAAAATATAATATTTTTCTCCACGCAAGGAAAATAAATCTTTGAATGTAAGAAAATGGCTTCTTACATTCCTAGTAGGCCTGCTCCATTGTATAATTAGAAGAGTAGGGAAGATTCTTTCGATGATGTGACATGTAGTGAGTAAACTAAGTTTTCCACCACTTCAAGAGAGCGAGAGAGCTAATAATTATTTAGAAACTTACTTTTAAGTACATATTTATTAAGTACATATTTATTATACATTATGTTAAGTGCATATTTTTCATCGAATTATTTGTTTTTATTCATTTTCTTACATAAATAGGTATCTTTCATTATCAATTCTATAAATTCACTTAAACAGTTACTTGTGTGTTTATTTCTCATTTAACTAACAACATGAAATTTGAATATTTCGTAACAGATTATAAACCAGTTTTTCTTTAAAGCCTCTTATTTCTGGCACAAACATAAACCACCGATATTTTTCAAATTAATTTTGTATAAACTTACCAATTTAGGGAAGAGAAAGACAACTGTATTGTTGAATTCTGTCGCAAAGTGCATTCAAATTGATTTGAAAATTTAAATTTGAGTTATTTCTTTTTCAGAACCAAATGGAGCGATTTGGTGACTCAATGGGAGCATTGAGTATGGGGCGTGTTGGAATTATAATGCTTTGTGTTAATTTTTTGAAGATGAGTGTTCCTATAGCCATTCGCTATTCAGCCGTGAGGCGACAATTTGGACCAACACCAAATGATGAAGTGCCAGTCTTAGAGTATCAAGTTCAGGTAAAGAAATAGGAAACCAATCATTGTAATAGAAAAAATAATGAAATTTATGATAAAATGATTTGAAAACATGCAATAAAAACATTTAAAAAGTATTTAGTTACAATAAATTTAGAATTTTATCTTTTTGCTGTTCCTACTTTGCTATTATGCAAAAAAAAAAGTATTCTTCTATGTATTTCACTAGTTACATGTTGCTTCATAATTGGCAACATAAATGTCAAAAAACTCAATACTCTTTCAGATTTCTACACATGAAAATTATGTTTAATTCAATATAATTATAATAATGATATTGATAATTTCAATATCACTTAATAACTTCATAAAATACGAACTAAATTGTCTTTTTTTTTATCCATGCTTTTAAGTAATAGTAGTATTACTCAAAAGCAAACAATAACTCCAACATAAAATTATTTTTAAATTCTATATCATGAAAAGAATTATTTTATCTCAAATAATTTGTATATTAACACTTAATCAATTTGAAAAATTAAAACCAAATTAAAGCATTGTTTTTAAAAAGAATATTTTTTTTTATCTTGCTTTTATGTATAAAAAAGTTTGTTCTAGCTTATTCATTGTTTAAGTAAATTATCATATTTATGTTTAAAAGTAGGCTCTCACTTTTTATTTATTGACATAGAAACTCTAAATTTGTTTAATTTTTTTTACATTTAAATATTTTCAGTGTAAACCACTTCAAACCTATTGTTACACCTTGTTTTTTTATGCTCTTAACTATGTTTTATTATTGAACAATTTTTCTTTCCACTACAAAATGGTTTTTATCAGTTGAAATTATTGAAAAAGTTTAAATACACATTTGTATGCATTCTGTTTAATAAAAGCAAGACCATTTAAATAGCATTTTTATATCATAGAATTTGAACCAAAATAGGTGCAAGCAAAAAAGTACAAAGATATTAAATAAAGAAAGGAGCAAATAATATAGCCTCCTGAAATGGAGATTCTGATACATTTTTATTAATCATGGATTCTTTATTTTCTGATATTACTGTTATGTTTACATTATTCAATAATCTTGAAACATCATAATTTGTTCAGTTTTTTTCATGGATATTTTTTGCTCGTACCAAATTATCTCAGTTTTAAAATTTGATTTTTTAGCAATGGAGACTCCTACCTTATGTTGCTGCTACATATGTTTGTTATCACTTTGCGAGGGATTTTTATCAAGATTTTATTGATTATTTTGTGGAGTCTCTGTTTGGACGTAGTACTGCAGAGATGGTAAGCATGTTAGTTTTTAAAAATTGTTATGAAAACATCAATCTCCGTTTAATATATTAATTTACTATTTATCTTCTTACTTATTGGGATTAAAAGACCCATTCCGATACTCCATCTAAATTTAAAAATATCCAGAAACTTTTGTTGTCATTTCCCTTTACTTATAAGTCTTATACATTTTAGTATTTATTTCAAAATGCATTTAATGTAGGGCTGCCAAACTAAAATGACTATTTAAAAAAAAAGACTACTGTGGCAACTAAGTTTCATGGAGTGTAGGCAACAACAATTTTTTTGCAATCAATTGTGAACAATCGGCGACTTTCTTTACCAATTCACTACTGAAAAAATCAATTAGCAATTTTTTCTCGCTGTGGTATGGATAAGAACTGGTTCCTTTTGTTATGTCTGTTTTCCATATTTATCCTCATGTGTCAATTTTTTTTTTTCATTTCATTTCATCCATGCAATTACAATGGAATATTTCATGCCACTGAAGTGATCTATAGTTGTGGATTATTGCAGGAAAGAATAATCCTCTGACCTGTTGTTTAACAGTTGGATATTAATATAAAATGTATAGAGTTTAATTTTACACTTTCAGAAAATGTATAGCTGAGTTTTCCTATGATTTTTTTTCTGTTTGTGTAAACAAATTTTGCCCAAGAGAGTTCTTAGCCCTCTGTTTTTAATGAGATAGTAAAAAGTTTTTATATTACACAGCATATAACATATAATATAAATTTTATTTATATATTCATTTTTGAAAATTTCTGAAAACATCTACATAACATGATATCTATACATCTACAGCATATTGAGGTTAAAACTTTATAATTTTATGTATTTAAAATGTACTTAGCGTTTGTATTTTATAAAGTGTAATTTTTTTAAAAATACATTATTTGGATTCTTTTATAACATTGAAGTATAAATATTGTAAAAATATGTTAGAAGAGAGAAACTATTTTATGCTTCTGACAACTATTCAGGATTTAATACATTAAATATCTGAAACAATGACAGCAACATTTTTGAAGTCTTATCAAGTGTCTGCCATGTAATGTTATACATTTTTGGTATGATTAATATATTGATGATTAACGCTGTTTTACGAAGCTCTGTCGCCAAGGGGGAAGGGGAAACCATAGTTTAAGTGCCTTACACTTGAAGCAATGCGACGATTTTAAATTATATGCATGATCTTACCATGAAGAATTATCTGGGCTTTAGAACAGATAAATACCTTAAATATTAAAAGTTATTAAACTTTCTTAAAAATCGTCAATTTGGTGACATTTTCCTACCTTGATAAAAATTACCAAAATCGCTGCCTTTATCTCAGTTTTTGCTAATTTTTATGTGCCCAGGTAATGCAGCATTGGAGTAAGTTTTTTAATTTTTAAAAAATTAAATCTTTTTATTTTCACAAAACCATGGCTTTTCTCCATATTAATGCCATTTTCAAAATAAGTGTAGACAGTGCTGGTTTTAGATAGGCTAAACTTGACTTTAACAATCATGAGTAGCATTTGCAAACTCACAGCAGTTATAAATATAGCATATTATTCGTAAAAAAGCATAATTTAATATTGCGACAGAACCTTGAAATATGATTAAGATATTGATTTATTTCAGCACTGATTAATTATTTTTTTTTAAACTATTTTTATGTATAATTTTTTTTTTACATATTAATAAATGACTACATGAAGCAATCATCATTCTATTCCCTTTTATTAAATCAAAATCAATTCGCCTTTTTTATTTTGCAATGATAAAAAAAGATTATTTAGTTATTTATTTTAATTTTTCTAGCAAATTTTTTGATGGTTTATTAGTGCACAAAATTTTATTCAAAATATTTGCATTGGTAATTATTAATGGGTTTAGCCTTTTTAAATTTCCAATATTTGATCACTATTAAGTTTTTCAAAATGCTTGAAAACTTTTTTGTGCACAATTAATGTAACTTGCAGAAAGGAAACGAAAGGTTATAGCAATTTTAAAAACATTTCTGTATGCATCTCTCTTGATATCATACAAATGGAATTTAACAACTTGCCATGTTTATTTGGTTCACAAAAATATTATTAAGAAATGTTATTAGTTGTTATTGAATAAATACTAAATTACAATGAAGCCTGTGTACTTGAACAACTTCTTAAGTTGATCACTGTTAATAAGATCCAAATTTATCAAATGTAAAGAGAAGAGGTTGTAATCTTGTAACTTCACCATTTTCCTCGCGTGTTGATCATTAAAAAATTTTAAATTTTCTTCTGAGCCTCTTTTAAGTTTACCACCTTTATTAAATAAAAAAAGGTGAAATCTTACTTAATAAAAAAAGCCTTATCAAACATTTATATATTTTCCAAACTAATTTTTTTCCATGTACCAATTAAGTAAGCCTTTTTCTTCTCTTGCTTTTACTCACTAAAAACAAGTGTCATTTAAAAAATTCATGAAATATTTTTTCAAGTTTCATTTTTGATTAGGTAATAAATAATCTTTTAACTGATGTAGGGCATCTACTAAATAAAATATTTAGCAACTACTTTAAAAAAAAATTATAAAGCCTTAAAATAAATGCATGTGTATTAGAATTTGTAATAAGAATGAATACATGGTCTGAGAAATGACAAAAAAGCAATAATAAATTACCTCCATAAGTTAACCACCTGTCTTTTTACCAATAAAGTGTTTAAGTAAAAAATAAAATAAAATGTAATAAATTCAAAAATTAAGTTGAAAACTTAAAGTAGGTAGTCAAATTATCTTTGAGCTTCATTAATATCCACTTATGATGAATGTTAACAAACCTGTAACACTTTGTATAAAATCTTTTCATTCTGTTTTAGGCTGACAAAAAAGTTTATATACATGCTTTAAGTTGTTGTGGCAAAGCTGTTGCTGGTTGGCTTGCAAGAGATGCTATACAAGAATGTAGAGAAGCATGTGGTGGGCATGGTTATCTTAAAGGTATTAAGTATTACAATTATGACACAAATTTTATATATTTATTTTAAAAGATAATTTGTTGTACCAATTTTCATTTATTTTGATGGGTTCTTCATTCTAAGAATTTCACTGTTTTGGGTATTTTATAGAAATTAATTTAAATGATGTATTCTTAGAAATATAATGTTCTATATTAAGCTTCATTCAAAGCTGTATGTTTTGTGGCCATCATTAGTTTAAAAATAAAAATTTTTGAGACTCAGATTCTGTCAAATTATTGAAAGTGCCTGTGTGTGTTTGATTTTGTAAAAACCATTTGCACAACACTTTAGTTAATGTGTTTATAAAGTAGAAATTAATGCCCCTGGAAGCACTGAGATTGTATCATAGTACTGATCATTGCTGAAATTTTTTTTTTATTATTATTGAAATAGTGAAAAATCTGAGTTATAGTTCAAAATTAACTCAAAATGGGTGTTTTCTTTTTTGTTTTAATGCATATTACCTGTGCTTTTTTTTTTTTTTTAAACTAGCCGTGCACATGAAAATAATCAGCATTTCTTTAAAAAAAATTATTTTTGCCACCATATTTTTTCTAAAAATCTGAATCAAAAATTTAATAAACTTGAAAAAATTAAAGAGGAGTCTTATAAAAATTGTTAAGAAAAGAAGTGACTTATTTATAGAAGTCATGCTGATTTGTCATATTTTTCTTTTTTTTATATACTTTAATAAATGGTGATAACAAAATTAATTTTATTCTTATAATTTCTTGTTAAAATTAATGTTCTTAAATTTTAAACTTAGAGACACTTGTATCTTTTGAGAGATTAATTTGCTGACTTTATGATTGAATAAATATTTTTTATATGCTTTTAATTCAATATCTTTTGTTTGCTTTTTTTTGCATTGGAATCAAACTTTTTGAAATTTAAAAAGCAGTATAACTGAAACACTAGACCAAAGGTCAACAGAATTGTCTTATGCTGTACAACAGAAGAAATTTTTATACTAGGCTAATTTATATTTTGTCCATTTCTTTGCAGTTTTTTGAAACTTATACACATAATTTTTACGCTCTAAACTTTTACACATTTATTATTTTATTAAACACTGAGAATATTGATCACATTTTTTGCACATCAAAACAATTAATTATTTTATTTCTTTAGTTTTCTGCTAAATAAATATTTTTATAGACTTTTTTTATCATTACTCTTATTGAAATATATGCATAAATTAATTTTTGTTCACCTGCTGCTTATTGTTATGTATTGTACTTCAAGTGTACCCCTTTTTTAAATGACTTTTATTTTTTTATTTCTCTGTCATCTGAGTAGGATAAATATGTTCTTTCTTCTTTGTATTTCTGTTTGTTTTTCTATGTTTATTTATTAAGGTTGCTCTGTTTTATTAAAAAAAATTAAACAGAAAAACATCAAAATTTAATATATGATATTAAATTATATGATTATTTTATTTATATTAATATGATTATTTGAGATTAAAATTCAATGATTAAGTAATATAATAAAAGTCAATAGTTAATAATAATCAATAATTAATAAAAAGATTACAATTCAAAAAATTATATCAAACAAAATTTTTGATTTTTTTTTGTAGCATGATTTGGCAGTTAACCATGTTAGGCAACTTATCAAACAAGTTCTATTTAAATGATGTCAAAATTTAAAAAATTGGAAGCAATTTAAAAAGTATTTTTATGAAATGAATGAGTATTTTTATGAATTGTCATTTTGCATAATAAGATGTACTAAAATAAGATATACTAAAATGTGCATGAAAATATTTTACTCTCCTCTTAAAATAACTGTTAATGTATGCATAAAGCATTTGCGATATTCAGATAATTTTTAATATACATTTTGCAAAATGATAATTTGCAGGAAAAAAAGCTTTATTATTTTGTAATGCTCAAAGTACACTTTTTCATTATTTGCTTTACATAATTAATGATTATCAAATTTAAGAAAAATATTATTCTTTCAAATTTTAACTCAATTTCAAAACTTTTATCACAACTTTGAAAACTAACAAAAATCCTGTAACTTTTGTTGCATTTCCTTAATTATTTCTTATTTTCAATTAAAAAACATGGCTCAACTATATACACTTGTGAGACCACATGCACTGTACCATGTAATTATGCAATGTTTAAAAGTCAAATAACTGATTGTTATATTTTATGGCAATGGTTGATCAAATATGTCATACAAATAATTTTTAATTTTTGTTGCATAAGGTTTTATGCGAATTATTAAAACATTTTTTGTTAGCTGCTGGATTTGGAAGGCTTCGGGACAACAATGATGCAAATTGCACATATGAAGGTGATAACAATGTCATTCTGCAGCAAACAAGCAACTATCTTTTAAATTTATTAAAGAAGAGCAATGCAGGTAAATAACTTTTAATAAGTTTTTAAATAATTAACTTATTTTAGTTTAACATGAGATAATTCTTTTTTTGTTTTGTTTAATTAATTGTAAAAGTTTTTTTCCTGAAATAATTTGATTAAAAAAGATTTATACTTTAGAAATGTTATTTTTTCCTTGTCAAACTATTATTCATTTATTTTTACTTGAAGAGTATATTAAATCTAATAATGGATTTTCAACTCATTGATCCTTCAACATCGCTGAGATCAAATCAGTGCATACAAAGAATTTTTTCTGTTTCGCACACTGAGAGTTGAAAGTTGAAGCTTTTCAACTAGATTTTGATTTTTCAAAGACAACTAAATTTTCCTTCTTAATATATATGTCATTAGAGTGTACTTTGTATGAAAGATTTAACGAAGAGCAATTTTGTATTATTGATTTATTGTATTTTATTGATTTTTCATGAGATTATTATTATAAACAACTTTTATTTTATGAATTTGATTTTTCAGGAGAAAGCCTGCCAACTTGTTTAAAAGATATTGCATTTTTAAATAACATGCAACAAATATTAAAAAGAAAGTATTCCCCCTCATCTCCATCTGCAGCTATAGAATTATCAGGTATTTATTTTATTTATGTGTGTTCATTTATTATCTCTTTCGTGATGTTTCTTATTTCTTTTCCTGTTCTAGGAAACAAGCTAACATTAACTCCTTTGAACATACATAATCTGAAACATATTCTACATTAAGATACTATTCCAACTTAGTTTTTATATTCTTTGTCTTTTTTTCACTTAAATAACAAATAAGTAAAGTTGAATTATACTTAGTAAGCATATTTTTATTGTCACTAAATACATAATTCAATGATTAGAACAAAATCTTTTTTTAAGGGAAATACTATAGATGATAAAACTTATAATTGAATAAATCTGGTTTTATCTTTTGTTCAGTTAAAATGAAGGATAAAACTCTGTTTTATTTCTTTTCAATTAAAATGCATACTCAAATTCCTTTATATTATTTATTCGTTATATGTATTATTTATTTGTCCGTAACTTAAAATTTCATTCTGCACTAATTAAATAGCATATTTGATAATCCCTTTGAATCATTAAGATTGATTATTAGATCTAAAGTTATTAAGGGTGTTCCCTTCTTTTATTTTGTGCATTGAACATGTATACAGATATAGAGTGATTTGACACAATTTCTGACTATGACACATCCAGAAATTGTGTCGTTGAAAAGAAAAAAACTTAAAACTGTGTTTTTAGTGATATTACTTGAGATTGTTTGTTTTATTAAAATATTTTCAGTTTAAACATAGTTTTGTTTATCAATAAATGTGTAGTTTTAAATAATGAGAGTATAATAATAGTTCCAACTTTAAAATAGTAAGCACACCAATCAATTCTCATTTGTGACCAAAGTGAACTATTTAAATTTTAGTTATTGTAGTTGTTTTTGGCTGAATCATTGTTTAAAAAGCTTCTGTTGCTATTAGGTTAACCTTGAAAGTTTTGTAATTTTCATAACTACAATAAGATCAGTATAAAGTAAAGGTTTAGTTTTCAAAAAAATGATTTTTAATATTCATGTTTACTTAGTCGTAGTGCTTTATTTCTTTGCATTATTTCTTTCAGTGCTTTATTTCTTTGCAGAATATGTAGCTATATGTGCCATACATTGGCAAATGTTTTTTTTTTCGACATTTTAAAATAAAGCCAGTAAAAATTTTAATTTTAATAATTAAAATTAATGCCAGTAAATTTAAGACCAAAGGTACAATGATTTCTACATCAGAAAATTATTAAGAGAAATCTATTTTAAGCTAATGATTTAATATAGAAAGACTCTTAGGAGACATTCTATAATATATATATATATCCACAGAATACAGGAAAAACTAATTTTCTCATGCCATTATAATTACTTAGAAGTCACCTCAACTGATTTGTAATCTATAGTCAGTGCAATACAAGTTAATCAATTTCTTCACCATTTTATTTATTTTAAATTTTTACATAATTTTATTTATCAAAATACTAACCAAAGACTAAAGAACAAAAATACATATGTATATATATATATATATATATTAAGACCAAAATACTTATTTTAAGATTAATTAAACAATTAAAAAACTATACATAATACAGTATTTTTGTTGAAGCAAAATTATATTTATCATTTAGTGAACTAATAATAATACTTAATATGAATTAAAATTATTAATTTAAATCTCTTGTCATCCAATTAGCTGAAAAAATGCTAAAATACCATATTAAAACAAGTTCATGAACTCAAGAACACACAATTTTTTTACTGTATTTCTTGATAAAAAAAAATTATGTTTAAAATTTGCCGTAAGCAACACTTCCCCCCCCCCCAAAAAAAANTTCCTCCCCCCCCCCCAAAAAAAAAATTTAAACCTAATTTTCTTACCTATCCACTTTAGAAGAAATTAAAGTAATCAAATTCAATAATTATTTGAACATAACTTACATACCTTGAAGAAAATACGGAAAACTAATATAAGCTTATTTGAATGAATTGCAATTATTAGTAAAATTGTTTTTAATCATAAGTTTGGTAGAAGTTTACGAATTTTATTTATTTTTTAATTGACTTATTGTGTCATAAAAGGCGTTGCACTGTTAAACAGTTCTTATGAAAAATAAATTCTTTTCCGTTAATTTTATAAAAAAAAATAAACGTGGACAGAATTATTTGTATTGTGCAGACAGTTTTTTAGATATTATATTTGTGTATTAAATGAAAAATGTTAAAAATTACTTCTATTGTTTCAGAAAAAATCTAATTGTTTGCTTTAATTATTTTGCAGAAATAATAGAGATGTACGAATGGCTAGTATGCCATTTGCTTCGTAAAAGTAGCGTTAAATACCAATCAGAGTTTGAAAACAGCAAAAATGCTTTTACAGCTCGTTGCAATTCTCAAGTTTATCATGCTCATACATTGGCCATTGCATATTTTCAGGTAAATTTACATATAAACTTACTCTATTATTGTTTTACATTTCTTGACAATTCCATTATGTAATATGATTTTCGTAAATTTTTACACCTGAAAATATTGGGTCCTAAAAATAAAAAAATTGTATTGTAATAAGAATGAGCTTCAGTAAATGATAAAACCTAATTTAATTCAATTAAAGGTCATTTAAAAAAATTTATTAATTTAGTACACTTCTTACATAATTCTAATAGAATCCATAGAGCTCAACATTATATCTGATTCGCCAGCATCCCCTTTCTTGAAATGCGCCAAAGATGGCTCTGATGATCTTTCTTTCAAAGGTGACGACTGACCGCTGAAAAATGAAATATATTCTCATTGATCTCAAAATGTAAGAGCATTGATCAAAATGTAAGAGCAGAGCAATTTTTGGAATACCTTAACAATTAAATTTACCTGTCCTGTTGAACACATGAATGTGAATTAGGTAACACTCTACCTTTAAATACCCAGGACAAGAGATAACCATGAAATATAAATTAGTGAGATAAAAATCCTACTGCAAGATAATCCTACTAGTGTTCAAGATATTTTAGGGTAGTATTTTAAACCTACTTTGAATTACAAATATCTTGTCTCTAAGAAAAATAGACTAAGTTATGTTTCAAATTTTAAATCATGAATTAATTAATCATGTAAGTGTATGAAAATTTGGCACTGAATTTTCTGTTTAGGTAGTATGTTATCTTTTCGATATTCTATTGTAATAATAAAATAAAAAATGCATTCAAATTAAATACATTCTTACTCTGTGTCTTATTAATACTATGTTTTTCAGTTGGTAGCTTTGAAAAGATTCTCTACTCTTATTGATAATCAAACAAATGCCTCAATAAAAGCAGTACTAATGAGAATGGGCAAACTGTATGGTTTGTGGACTGTTGATAAATATCTAGGATTGCTTTATGCAGGTAATGTTCTCTATTAAGACTAAATTTAAATTAATTTTGTGCCATAAACGGAATAATTAATTAAACAAATTAATTAAATGTGCTATTAGGTTCTGTACTTCCTGATCATCTTGTTGAGGTTTGGCAAGGTATCAGCTACTACACTGTCAGCTGCAGACACATGTTCAGTATTAGGAAATATAATCAATTTGACGTGATTGTCAAGGAGAACAAGTATTTTGCTTTTGCCTAGACCCATATCAGTGGGCGGTGATCTTCTAAAATTAAAAAAGATTTTCCTTCAACTGAAAACTTCACGAAACTTCTAGACGGCTAATAATTCTCTATTGTACTATACTTTTTTCAGCTGTAGATAGCTTCTTCTGTAAAAAACAAACCATTTGGCATGAGCATTTTAAAGACTGCACCTAAAGAAACCTCTGAAGCAGCGACGATTATAAAGATTAGATGTGCTGAAGGAAAATATGCTAATGTGGCTGAATTGGTAAGGTCTTACTTACTCTTCTTGTACGCAAATGTAGAGTCGTAAGTCCAATCTATTATAGTTTTTCTTAGAATTTTTAAGAATATCCTGAAATGTATCTTGGATTTTGCAGTGCTATAAATGAAACGACGATAAAAATTAAGCATTGTTAAAAATCTTCTCAACTTAAATATTGTTTTAAGCAATGCATATTTAAGATTACCACAGTATCTGTATTCAGGATTGGAACTGCTCACACTACTACTGGAAAGTAAGAGGATATTTTCTAATTTCAGGGATGTGATTCTTCCGCGGATCCGCTGATTTCCGCTTTTTTCAGATTTTTCCATATCTTCCGCTCTTTTTTCATAAATTTCCGCGCGGAAAAAATTTTTATGCAGTAAATGATATTTTGCTGAAAATTTTTTTCTTTTGTTGAAAATCAATTCCCATTCACGCAATTTAAAAATCCAATGTCGCGATTCGTATTCATATATATTTTTAAATTTCAATATTGCGATTCGTTATCATTATCACGCGGTTGTAATATCAAGCATCGATATTCGAATTTATACGCGGTTTAAACATTCATTACTCGTTGCGATAAGTACTCACGGACTCTAAAAAATTATGCATCGTGAATCTTATTTACGCGATTTAAAAATTCAATACCGCGATTTGTATTTTCGTGCTTTTAAAATTCAATATCGTGATTCTTATTCAAGCGATTTTAAAATCCAACATCGCGATTCTTATTCACGCAATCTTAAAATCCAACATCGCGATTTTAAAATCCGATATCGCCTTATTCACGCGATTTTAAAATCCGGCATCGCGATTCTTTTTCACGCGATTTTAAAATCAAGCATCGCGATTCTTATTCACGCGATTTTGAAATCCAACATCGCGATTCTTAATCTAAGGCCTCTAAAAATTGTGTGAGAAATGAACTTTCTTGTCCTATCAACACTGATGATCAAAAGTCTGCAAAACGCAGTCTACAGATCAGTCATGTTAATAAAAGACCATCGAAAAAACAAAGAACTGATGAGAAAGTCCATAAAGGTCCTTTAACCAATAAAGAAATGTTTTTTAAAATGATGTGATACATAAAATCCTGCTTATGCATAATTACTCAAAGTTATCTAAATTATTAAAAAAAAATTATTTTAATCAAGATTTTATTTAAGAACATAATTACCATTTATTTATATTTATTTGAATAGATAATAATGTAATCATTATCAGATTGGCTATTGAATTCATATCATTTTTTCTTTTGCACGTTTAATGCTACAGTTATAAACTTCCTCTTTTTTGTGTTTTTGTCAATCACATCCCTGTAATTTAGATTTATGTAGAATGTACCACCAAATTCTAGTTAACCCTAAAGATATGCCAAAGACAGGAATAACAACTCTGTTTGGTTTATTTGATTATGTATTTATGCCACTCAGATTATGAAATGCAGACCAAACATTTCAGCGCTTTATAAATCTAGTATTATCAGGTTTAAATTTTTGGATACTTTAGTTTGATAACATTTTAATTGCCTCAAAGGGTGAAAGAAAACTTAAAATGCATTTAAAACTGGTATTACGAAGGTTGCTTCAATATGGTTTAACATTAAATGCTTCTAAATGACTAGGAAGATCTCACCTAATAGGGTAAAAACACTCACTGCTATCGAACATGCACTGCCTAAAACAATATCTGAGTTGAGAAGATTTTTAGCAATGCTTAATTTTTATCGCTGTTTCATTCCTTCACAATACACGAACTCAAGAAACACTTCGTTATCTCGTAAAAATGATTTTAAAAAATTAAAATTGATTGGCAGATTGGAGTTGCAACTCTACATTTGCGTATGAGAAGAGTAAGCATGATCTCGCCGATTCATCCACATTGACATATTTTCCTTCAGCACATCCAATCCTCATAATGATTGATATTTCAGAGATTTCATTAGGTGCAGTCTTAAAAGAGCACACGCTAGATGGTTCACAAATTATCGCTTTCTTTTGGCAGAAGTTAACTCCAGCTGAAAATGAAGTATAGTATAGAATTATTACCCATCTGCTCTGCCATGCAGCAGTTCAGGGAAGTTTTTTAGTTAAAGGAAAAAGTTTACAGTTAAAAGGAAAAAGTTCCACCCACTGATATATGCTTTGAGGAAAACACATGATACTTGTTCTTCTAGACATATTTCTAGATTACATTTCCCAATATACCACAAACATTAAACATGCGTCTAAGATAAACCACATTTGCCTGATACATCTGACTGTGCTACATTTGGCATCGCCAAATGTTTAATAGTTCGTATAATTTCAACCAAGATTGTGACATTTACCATCAGGTTATGCTAGTTTAAACTTGTTCTCACAAGACTGAACTTAATGCCTCGAGCAAAAGTTACTGGATGTGCAATTATTATTAAAGTGGGCAAATGATTTAAAAAACAATGCATCCTCAGTGGTTTACCTTCTTTAGGTAAACATTGGAAGATAAACTCAAGATGCTCTGATGACCTTCCTTTGGTTTTAATTTCCCCAGTCGTGGTTGTAAATTTTACTGGCGAAGACACTGTTTATTGTGCTGGTGGAGAAAAACAATGCACATGTTTGTGTTCAAAAACTTGTGTCCTCAGAAAAAGGGATCCCTACACTCGAACACATTACTTTAGCTTCTGCTTCAGGTAAACGGAAAAGGCATAATTAGCCATTATTGATCTATCAACAAGTCACAAAAGTCATCCACTGGATAGGATCAACTTACTGATGTCACTTACTAGGTATTTCGTTAAAAGTGGAATCCGTTTCAGGAATGAACTCACAGGTATATAGCTGGTGTTGGCACAAATCTATTACCTGCTTATTTTTCACTAGGCTGATGGTGCTGCTGATAGTTGAAGGAATTAAATTTTCTTTCACATCTGAAAATGGCAAGGTATCCAGTACACCATGTGAATATGCTTGATATTATATCATCGCACTTGCAAATTCTGCCTAATCCTTTATTTGCAAAAGTGTCTCTTTTCTTGATACACAAAGCTCTCCTTTCCATGCTATTGCAAGGGTGTTCCTGCAGCTTACTGCAGTAGTTTTCAAAAATGTTCACAGCAAAATGTGCAGTTTTGCATGTATTATTCTGCAGTTGCTGAGATTTCATGTAATTCAGTCAGCACATAAACAGATTTTGTACAAACATCTTACTTACACCATACAAAACAGAAACTTTTATTCTCTCTACTTCGCAGAACACCACACTGCAAAATCGACATCTCACCTACCTAGAGAAAAACCTGGCTTCACTGGAAAGAAAAAGAATCCCAAATTTAATCACACTGTCATCAATCTGCCATTTTGCGGAAGATGGATGATGTGATGATGATGCATCCTTTGGAAGATAAATTGCAATAGATGACTTGACTCTGCCATTATTCTACTTTGTCACTGCTAAATTTGCTAAAATGATTGACATTTGTACATTTTCATTCTTTTCTTCATTGCATTTTATAACCAACTACAATCTTCTATGAATTTGGCATATTCTGCATTTTAGTGATACTCTGACATATTTGTGTGAAAATTATACATAGATTTTAAAAAGTAATATAAAAGCACATTTAAAACATTGCATTAATATTGAAAAATGTTTGTAATAATCTAATGCTGTACTTAAAAGTAAGCTGAAGACATAAAATTAAAACAACTAGATATATGTCAAAAATTGTTTTCAACTTAATGGCTCTCTTTTATAATTTATTGTATTTCAGGTGGTTACATTTCTGGAAACTTAGCAGATTCAGTTATAAAAGAAAATATAATAAACCTATGTGGGGAGTTAAAAGATGAAGCTGTTACGCTGGTTGATGTCATTGCACCTCCTGATTTTATTCTGAATTCTGCTCTAGGAAAGTCAGATGGTCAAGTAAGTTCTTTTTTTATGACAATTATATAAATGTACGTAAATTATATTTTCTAAATTAATTTATCAAACTTTTTGCATGAAAAATCGAGTTTTTGGTTATTATTTTTATGGTACTTTTGTACCCACAATAAAGATATTTAGACTACTATATGATAAAAAAAAATTCTTATTATATGAATTAAAATATACATGCAGTACCTCCTTCACCCCAAAAAATGGAGCTTAATAGCTTTTAAAGCAAGGATTAAATATTTATATATTAAAATGCATTTCTACAGTTCGAAGAGCTTTAAGCATGCAAATTAATTTGTGCTGGCAACTTTAGGAGTTACAAAGTAAGACATAGAAACATACTTTTTCTCAACGAAAATACCCATTTTTCTTCTGGATTTAATTTTCCACCCTCAAAAATTTCAGCAAATCAGACCTTTTTTTGATCATAATTATGAAACTATTTTATATAAATACAATGAAATACAAAATGATATTATTTTTTATAATAATAATGTAATAATGAATTCAAAAAGAATGTGTAGTTATGAAAAACATTTAAAATTGGAAGATACATGAAATTTTACATCAATCTAAACTATGTTATTTTAAAATCTGATAAATTTTGAGTGAAATTAGTTAGTCCCAAAGTGATTTTTAAAAAAAAATGATTTTTTAAGAGCTTTTCTTCTCAAGAACCATTGGACATCAATCTCAAAATTTGGATTTTACCACTTAACTTAGTTTGAAAGGAAATAAAAATATTTAAACCTAGTTATTGTAAATTATTTTTACCATTATTAAATGAAATATTAAATAATAATAAAAAAAATTATTTTGCATGGAATTATTTTTGAATAAACTGGTTTTATATTCATCGAAAAAAGTTTTTATTCATTTAAATACAATAACGTCGGATTATAGTCCCATTCGTACATAAGCCAAGAGTAGGCCAAAAAAATTTCAGTCAGCAGCCAGTGGCTGTAGACTCTTAATAACTTAGTATTCACTTTTTCATAAAACCTAATGAGTTTGTGACTGATTGATAGGTCATTTTCATTTAAAAGCGGATTTTTGCAAACTTTTTTTTGTTGCTTGGTTTAAAATTATATTTTTAAAAAAATTCATGACAGAAATAATCTACAGCTATGAAAAATTAATTCACCAATAAAAGTAATGTGAATGTGACAAAATCTAGTTAATTACTGACTTTAAAAAACTTAATTTAAAAATATTCAAGAAGACAAAATACATTTTATGAATATAAAATATGCAACTTAGAAATATGTGAATTGTTAAAGAACTTACCTTCCACCTGAATCTTTTCATCGCAAAATTTTTAATCGAGACATTGGACGTTTTAACTAAAATTCTGTTTTCCAGATTCTTTCTGCATTGATGTAATTTTATCATTAAACGGTTTCCTGCAAAAAAGACAGTATTAAGTGATCGGTTATACTTAATTTTATTCGCCACTTTTTTATTATTTAGCCGTGTGACATACGGTTATTTTCAGGTCTAGCTTTTTTCTTTTTTTGAAAATTTACCAGAGAGGAAAAAAATAATAAAACAGACTAGTTTTAACTTCCCTTTTGCCTACCCAGCTATATTAGTTTACCTTTGTTTAAAAATAAAAACCCATAGAGAATCTCACTAATTCTTTCCTCCTTGCTTTGAATCCGTTCAACAGTCCACATTGACTGACTAGTTTGTAGTCCAGATGAGCAATGAGAGCTATCTAAATTCTGAAGCTTGCATGTTTTAACTTTTTCTGTTTTACTTTTGTATGAGGAAAAATAAGTAGTAAAAAAATCTTATTAAAGAAAATATTCTTTTAATGTTGTCATTTTTATGTGTTTTCTTTTATGTGTCTTCTTATTTTCAACTGTTCATGTATTTACATGTTTACTCATTAGGTTTTATGTTTCATGTATTTACATGTTTTGCATTCATTACAAAATTTAACAATCTATTGCTATTGCTCGACCAATGAAAAAGTACTTTTATTTTTCGACGTTTACTTGGGTTGGTTAAAAAAATGAATTTCGACATTTTAGAATGCTTTTGTGCGAAAAAGTTACAATAAGAATGAAAACAGCATGCAAAAATTTTAAATCAGTTAAGATTTTCTGTTTGTGCATCGCACTTGCAATTGGTTAAAATTTGAAAAAAATCTTGCATTTTTTAAAAAAAATTTCAGGTTGGCTAAATCTTTTGAAACAAGCAGGCTTCTTTAATGGTTTAAATAACAAATTTATTAAAATTTAAAAAATAATTTTAGTTTTCTGCGTTTGTACAACGTTTTAAAATAAGACATTAGTTTACCAATTTTTTCACTTCATTTGTTATGTTAAATCAGAAGAACATAGATTTAACCTTGCAAAGATGGTTGCACATTGAGTTCCACCTACATTCTACCGAACCAACTATTCAGTTTTTTTGTGGTTTTCAGTTTATATTTATAACTATTTAGATAGAAATTATTATAATATTACAGGGAAACTTCTAATTTGCATGGTACCAGAATTTATGATGAGTGATTTAATATCTTCCATTTTTTAAGTCTTGAAGCATTGGGGAGGATATACCATATAAGAATTCGAATTTATGATTTCAGTGTAATCCTAAGCTTGAAAGTTTATCTTTGGTGGTACAAAATTTAGTCTTTGCTCAACTAATTCCTGTTAACTAACAATATCTGCAGTACATTTTAAACGCAATCACTTTAAGGCCTCGTCCAGAAGACTTAGCTAGCCATGATCTTGTTCCTTTGTCCAATTCAAAATAACTAACTATTGTCCGACAAGTCCTTAGGTTGTATTCGAGAAAGACCTTAAAAGCCATTCCAACAATAAAAACTGTTAGAAATTTTGCACTATTTAAGATAAGCTTTTAACCTTCGCATTTCTTCTTTGGAATAATTAATTGGAATTCTTGCTTGGTATACCTTCCCCAAAGTTGCATGATTTGAACACACAAGTTCTAACACTACATATTAAAGAAATATCAAAATCTGTCACTCCCACGCTGTGGAAAGAAGCATAAAACTTGTTACAGAGACTTTGAATAAAATATGTGAACATGAAGATAGAGATGGATATATTTCAGCAAATTGAAGTCTCAATCTTCAAAAAATATATGTGTAGTGAATATAAAAAAGGAACCTTTGCAATGCAGTAAACCAAGAATTTGAACTCCATTCAAAATCTTTGTATATAGCTATAAATCTAATGTAAATGCTCCTCTAATAAAGCGGGTAGTTGGTTGGGTATAATGTTGGTTGAATTAATATACAACCATCTTCACATGGTGAGTTTTAGGTTCTGAGCAGAGATGCATAGTGAAAATTAAGAAAAATTGGTAAACTTATGTTATTTTTTATTCTAAAATATTGCGCGAATGTAAAACATAAAATTTTTGATCAGAATTTTATTTTGGTTATTCAAACTAAAAGGAGTTTATAAAGTTTTAGTCAATTTAAAAACATTTTTTTTTCAAGTTTTCATTAATTTTAAGTATGATGTGCAAACAAAAGGCCTATTAACAGATTTTAAACATTTTTATGTCATTTTCATTCCGATTACAATACCCACCTTTCCTTACTAAAGGGTTTTAAACTCAAAAAGTAATTTTTTTGACCCACTCTAATGTTTACATAAAATTTAGCGAAGTTAACAGATCTGATTATGAGCTGACTTTCTCCTCATTTCAGCTTTTGAAAATTTCCCACTAATTCAAAAATATATGGTATATTAGTGTCTGATTTTTTTAAGTTTTGTAAGCACAGCATGATTATCATATTTTAGGTTAGACCCTTGAACCATTAAAGTTTCGTCTTAATGAAAATCCAATAATTCGATCAAAAGTTATTAAAGAATTTGGGTATTTTTTTGATTTTGTGAACTAAACACAAAATATTCTTTTTTCAGGTATATAAAAATTTGCAAGATGTGATCATGAATACTCATGGAACAATGGAAAGACCATATTGGTGGAAAGAAGTTGTTGAAAGTGATACACCAAAATTAAAAGCAAATCTTTAATCACTTCTGATAACATTGTTTTATTTTAACTATTGTTTTATGCATTAGTATTTTGAACTATGATATTGATTTTTTCAGTTACATTTAAATAGATTTTCAAAGATCAGCAACTGAACAGATTATGTTCGCTTTCCAATAATTATTTGTATATATCTTATGGTAAATATATATATTTTTAAATTTTTATTAAAGTTTTGTATAATTTATGTTTACATAATATATTTGTGAGACTGTAATTTATATTATATATAAAGATAATAAAATCAAATGAAAATTTGTTAATTTGCTAGTGTACTCATTTAAATAGTTACAAATAAACAGCTTTGAAATACACCATCAAGAAACTTTTTAAATGAATTAAAACAACCGACTGATTAAACTTTGTTACTTACTTATCTTCTTTGTGCTTCAAGCTTTCTTTGCTGAACAATCTTAGAACTTGCAACTAATTTTGCTTCTGTCAAAAATAATCTTTGCTTGCTTCTGCTAAAAATATATAATTTATTAAACATTCTTTGCCAATCATGTGCCAGTGCAGGATGCTAGTCCTAATAACTAACTATCCACACTGGCATGAAATTAGAAGCAAACCTGTTAGTAGTTATTTCTTTAGATTAGTTTCTTTTGAAGTTTTGACTTCATATAAAAGCTCTCTCTTAAATCACAATTTAACTCTTGCACTGCAATTGACAAGATAACTTGTCTTTCAGGAATATTCGCTGCGCTGTATTAGTGAGTATGGTTATTGCCTAGAGCTGACTCATTAGCTCTTGTTAAACCAGTTTTTCAATCAGAGTTTAATAATCAAGCAGAAAGTTTTAACTGCACAAAAATTTATTGCAGTAACTGTAATTGCAATATATATATATATATATATATATATATTAGTTTGTTTTTTAAATGCAACAGTCCGTAAAATGAAAATTAAGTTCCAAATGACAGAAAAATTCAAGTGGCAAGTACTCAGTCATCATGGATTCACAACATAAACATGGAAAATAAAGAATATGAAAAAACACTATTGTGAAAAACTTATATATTTTTTCATTCATTCATAGATAGCAGGTGTAATTGATAATGCAATATCATAAATCATTGATACTTTACAAACTCATATACTAGAGCCATGGTGGTTCAAGGGATAGAGAGATCGCCTCTCATTGCATTGCTGAGATTCGAACAGACTAACAGTGAGAGGTTTTACTCTACATGTAACACAAATGCGGGTTAGTAACATCAAAAACTCCTCCACGAAGGTAAATTTCTCCCAATAGAGTTGAGCATTTTTTGTCGTATGGGTGGGCTGTTCAACGGTAGTTGTAAACCAAAATAAATAAAATTTGTAAACTAGACCCAGGTTCGAATCCCAGTGATGACTGGTCGACACAAATTACATACCCAGCTCACACTGCTGTCGTAAAATATCCTCAGTGGCAGAGGGATCACAGGTGACAGTGCACTTGCCATCAGGCTAACGTAAATGCGGAATAGTTCTATTAAAAATTTCTCCCAATGCTTGATCTAAGAATTCCCATTTCTTCTGAATCGGGTTCAAAATTACAAGATTGTGGAGTTCAACATTGGCTGTCGTAAACTCAAAATTGGGTTGCCCAACGACAGTTAAAAAATAAAATAATGTTTATTATCATTCTTAACTGCAATCTGGATGAAGGTATTTGCTAAACTTTTCAAAAGACTTTGATCTATTATCATTGCTTTCCAATTAACACTTGCTGCTTTTCTAATTTCATTAGACAACCTTATTTCCACAAAAACCTAGGGTTCCATTGAAAGGTCTTTGGGTTTTAAGAATTAGCCTTTGTTCAAGAAGATATACTAATGCAAAAACCCAAAAAGAAAATGGAACAGAAATATCATTTCTTTAAGGTTACAGTATTGATGCAGGTGGAAAACCACATATTATAAAAAATTTTATTATAACTATGTATAACAGAAATAGTTGGCTGTGTACTCTGAGAAGATGCCACGAAGGAAGTTGTTTTTAGATTGTTGAACAATCAATTTCGAGATCCGTAATTCATTTTGAAATATATTGTACAGCAATAGCTGTCAAAAATCTGATCACCTAAGAAGTGTATATTTCGGTGATAATCAGTTTTCTGATTAATATGGCCAATTCATTACCATTTTAAACATTTGTTTTGCTTGATAATATTAATAATTTCGATTTGTTTTCTGATCATTGTTTCCTGGTTTTGATCATTTTTTATGCAGCATAAGCATCCTTTCATACCTCTTTATGTTGTTTTAAGTCTTTAAGTAAATCTGCTAGAAAGTCCAAGTGTCTTCCCAATACGTAACTTTACACCATGCATATTTCTGCAGATTCAGTATTAATTCCTTTCATTTCTTATAATTAATAAACATTTTTTCATACTTCATGTTGCATTGAGTCTTAATGTAGATCTACTAATAAGAGTATAAGTTGCTGCTCCATAAGTTAACCAGGTACTTTTTGACAGATTCAATTTTATAGATTGCAGAGGTATTGGCTTGTACGCTATGAGTTTCGGGAGTTGAATTCATATTGATTTGCAATTTACTAAACATAGTTGCCAGTAGGTTGCATTACTTATATATTATATCATTAAAATATAAAAATTATTTAACAGATACTATTTCAGAAATTGCAACAGAAATAGTTAACTTTTTTTAATTTAATTATTTTATTGGAATTAGGAGAGCATTTATTCTAGTGGGAAATTATTTAAGGATTCATACTGTGTTTTCAGGAAAAGTTACATAATTTTTTGAAGTTCAGGAAAGGTTTTAATGAGGAAAAACTTTAAAAGCAGGTAGTATAAAATTTTTACTTACATTTTAGCAAGCTAAATATGAAGGAAATATAACCTAAAGCATAAAAATACTGTATGAAATCAAGCAGGTTTGTTTTTCTTTCATTTCAGTGTATGAGGACCACTGGAATAAAATTTATTATGTTAATTTGAATTAGATGCTCCTCTTTATAATATTACTTTACACTAAGTTCACAACAGAAAAATATATTTGTCTATTTAAAAAAAATGAAAGCAACACTGCGATTATGAAATACATTTTAAATTTAAGAAAAAAGAAGTGTCGAATTAATTAGAAAATGCCTTACCTCAGAATCAAATTCTAGACAGTAATGAGAAGTCAATTTGCCATAAAATTATTTGTCTCTGTGCTAAAATAGGGTCGAATCATGAATTTTAAAAGAACTACACACACAGTCAAATTATAAGTCACTGAGATTCATTTATTGACAATAAGATTAATATTAAATTACAATAAATACTTATATTATCATTTCAAAATAAGTAAAATAGCTGTCAGAATGAAATAACACTAAACGTTATTCCAAACACAAAAATATGTACAGTATAATTAATATTGATTAAAAAAGACTAGCATTCATTCATATTTGTAAAATACAAAAACCAGTTCATAAGATAAATGTAAAGATAAATTCATATATATAAAAACAATTAAAATAAACTTTTTTGGAGTTATTCCTTAATATATGAAAAAAGAAATGCATAAATGATTTAAAATAAAAATAAAAATCTTATTATGAGAGATTATGAATATAAATATAGGAGTTAACACAATGAATGCTGCTGCAGTTCTGTGCAAGTGCGTGATGTAGCTAAGACACAATGGATTTTGTAGATTGTTGTTTATGCTAACTCTCGCATCTTTCACAATTTCAAAAAACTGTTTATAAGTCAGAATATTATTCAGCAGTTCATGTGTTGCAAAACATTTTAAAACATCAGAAATCTTCACACAGTGCATAATAACAACCACTATACAACATCAGTTAATTTAACAACAATGCTTGCACATACTCTAAAACAAGTTTTAAAATTGATTTTGGTTACCCTGCATTAAATTTTTTCAAAAAACAAGGTTAAGAATTCTTCAACAGATAAAGTTGATGAAGTATGTTGAACAAATTTAAATTTCTAAATAAGTTGTATAAACAATTGAAATAAAATAATGCAAAAATATCACCTAATAAAATGGATATTTCGCATACCTTGGCACAGTCAAGTATTTACATAGACATTCAAACAAAAATTAAAACAATATGGCAGCAAAGCCTTTCAGCATTTGCTCAGTTGTACTAAAAAAATAAACAGAATAAACAAACATGAATTGCCTAAACTTGGCTTTTCAATAAGTAATCAGAATTTAAAATATGCCTTTTCATTTCATGCTGCAAGGAATTATCATTTCAACTGTGGTCTGATTTATGGTGATTCTTCATTGTTGAAGATCTCTCACCAAGATCTCCATGCTGAAATAAATTATAAATCATTAAATTCTTTAAGAAATAATTTCAGATATTATAAGATTATAAGCAATTGTTCATATATAGCTTCATTAATTAAAAATAATAAAACTTTTTACATCCTTTTCCTAAAGGGTAAATACTATTTCATATTTCCTTACACTGCTTACATTTACACCAAATAATGTACAGTGGAACCATTTACACCAAATAGTGTACAGTGGAACCATGTACACCAAATAATGTACAGTGGAACCATTTACACTAAATAATATATATCCAGAAAATTGTAAACTATAAGTGAAATATCCTATGAAAAAAGAAGGGGGGAAAACACCTAACAAGAGAGCAAGCCTCATAATGAGCAAATTACAGCAATCATAGGATATTTTTTAGAACTGTATACATATATTAGGCTACTTTAAAAAAAAGACAAATGGCAAACTATATATATATATATATATATATAATTTGCTTTAACAAAGAGTAATTAAAGGCATATTTTACAGCAAAAGAACAATAAAATATACTATAATTAATTTAAGAATTACTTAATCTAGAATAAAAGTTTCAACAGTTTTTAGTATAAAATTATTGCTGGTGCACTAATCAACTAATAGTTTACGATTAATAAATAGAAAATTGTTATAAAGAAAAAGAAAATGAAGGAAATAAAAATGAAAATATGACCACCGAAGCCGACGTCTTCAGGGGGTACCGGCCTCATATTTTCATTTTTATTTCCTTCATTTTCTTTTTCTTTATTGCTACTTTTTTCTGAAATTTCTGCTGCTTTTTAGCGCGTTTTTTTCAAAGAAGTTTTTTCTATTTAGAATTAAAAATATTTGTGTTTTCTTTTAGAATAAAAAATTGTTATAGCACTGTTGTATTAAAAAATAACCACAATCAATTATTTAATATTATGTCCTATTCAAATTTCTCTCTAATCTATTATATATAATTCTCTTATGTGGCTCCCAAATTTTGGCTGTATTTCTTTTCCGCCGGTGGCAACGTTTGCTTTGTTTTGTTTACGTTACTATTTCTCTTACACGGCGAATCGACCAATGATTGCCGCTAAAAATGTCACATGCCAAATCTAGCCGAGGTGGCTCAACATGTAGCTCTTTTAAAAACGGAAACTGAAATAACCAGAGAGCATCAGCTG